AATGATACCTGTGCCAGATTCAGCTGCGAAAATTACCTTAAAGCTTTCTTCATAAATCATAAATTCACCTGCCGAACAATAGCAGATTTTGGTCACCTTGAGATGAATTTTGGAATGTCAGATTTTCCAGTGCTCACCTAGATTTGAACTGTATAAGGAGAAGGAGCGCACTTTAAAGTACTAAAAAATATCTTCACTTTTGTTTCATTGTCTTTAGCATTGTTTAAAATATTCCATAATTAGTAAGACACAATAGCTTAGAAAGTTGGTCCTTTTCATCGTGTTGAGTATTCTTCATTTCATTTTTCTCCGTAACTTTTTATAGAAATAAGTTTGATCAAGTCTTGTAAAGAATTTGACGGCGCATCTTTTGGAAAAACGATCAGGTTTAAGGATTGAAAAGAAAAGAAATGATAAGCAAAATACGAGGAGGGCCATTTATTCTGGGCCACTCGATATTACAAGAATTAAACATTTGAAGTTGCAGTATAATTACAATCAGAAGACAAAACTTACGGGACAACGTTTTTCTGCAACTTGTCTTGACCCCGTAAGCCTGAGCCCGTGAAAGTTTTTTCTTGTCTCGAGCCCAAGCCCGCATATTGTTTTTTGTCCCGACCCCGTCTGTCCCACGGGACGGGACAGACGGGATGGGATTCGGGATTGCCCCGCAGGAGTCTACTTATGATATTCATCGTACTTTTTGTCACTCATTGTACTTTTTGAAGGATAAATTTATCAGCAGCGCTTATAAATAAGATGCCTGGTTTCTGTGCATGCTGTGTCCATCTTATTTCTTTAATAGGTAGAGAAACCAATCACCTCTTTTGATTTGCGCTCATCAGTCTTTTATAGAAAAACACCCTTTTTGAAACGAACTATTAAAGTTTTCTTCACTTTCAACCACTAACTTCGCTCAGTACTTCTTTTGATCGTGTCATGATCACACTCATTGGGACTACAAATTTCCTGCAAGACTCTAACTGCGGCTTAAATAAGAAGGAGTTGGTTAGTAACGCATTTCAAAATAATCTATCTTACTCTAAGATGAGTTCAGCCTACTAATTTTCTTAATTGAATGTTCTGTTTTATAATACAGACCTTTTTTAAATGTTGTATGTCAAAGTGGAGTAAAATGTATCCAACTAACGAGGGAGGTCCACCAACTTGAAAATCGCTTTTGAGATGAAACCTAGTGGGTGATAGATAATCGACCATATTGATCCCGAATCTTGACATGGCAGACGGGCGGTTAGACCTCCAGAGACCCGTTTTCTAGGAAACCAGTTTTTCAGAAACTCTAAAAAATAACCAAAATTTTTTCTAATGCGGCATGATTGTAGTCCGCAGATTTCTGACTAAAATGAGATATCTTCCAGATCTATATGACCTTTCTTTGCAAAGTTATAGAGTTTGCAAGAAAAGCCATAAATTAATTTTTCCTTATTTCTGTAGTCTTGACAATGAACATTTAGGGCTTTTCTTGCAAATACTATAACTATGTAAAGAAAGGTCATGTAGAGCTGGGAGATATCTCACTTAATCAGAAATGCGCGGACCACAATCACACCCTATTAAGAAAGGTTTTGGTTACGTTTTTAGAGTTTCTGAAAAACTGGCTTACTGGAAAACGGATCTTTGGAGGTTTAAATGCGCGTCTCATGTCGATATTCGGCATCAGCATGGTCGATTACCTATCACCCACTAGGTTTCGTCTCAAAAGCGATTTTCAAGTTGGTTGAGCACTCTCGTGAACTATACCAGCACCGGAATTCTACGGTAGAGAACATATGAGTAGAGCACTGAAACTAGTGCATTTTAGAGTTTGCAAGAAAATACTTGTAATTTTCTAAATTAAAATCGTGCAGAGTTGCGTTACTTATTGCATCAAAGAGAAGAGTTTACCTTATCAACCAAGATATTATACAGATCAATGTTCTCATAAGACATCTCGGACTCTTAATCTGTGTGAAATACTTGAATGGTTTCTTCGAAATTTCCGTTAACGTGCCAAACATCTATGATAGTGTGTATAAACTTGTTTTTCTCTCTATTTTCTACTTTAGTAATTATATTTTGAACAAATCACCCGGAATCGGCTATATATCAACGATCGAATGGCCATTAGTTTTATCATTGTTGGCTTCATGGGTTTTAGTATTTATATGTTTAATTCGTGGTACTAAAAGTTTTAGCAAAGTATGTTGGATGATGTATTGAAGTAAAATGTGTTTTGGGAAGAAAGAAAATGAGTTTTTAGGCATTATTCACCATCGTATACAAAAACCCACTTAAAATAAGTAATAGTAACTGCGATGAACTTATTGCCTTATCGGATTATCACTTTAGAGTAGAGTGTTTCAAGAACTTTTCATCAGAACACTGTAAACGGTGGATCAGTCAATGAAAATAACTTTTTTATAAAATGTTTTCATTTAGCTGACAATATATGTACGTAAATTTGCATGGTTATTTAGGTGGTTACTTACACTATTCTTTCTATGTAGCTGGATTGTCAAGAAACTGCTTTTCTTCGAGGAGCATGGCTGTAGTGCAGTTTTACCTATGCTTTTATATAGACTATTAGTGTAAGAATGATGTAAAGATAAATAAAACGACCAAAATTCAACGTGTTTGTTGTATAAACTTGTAGTCTCTAGTCCCTTCATAAATAAATATTATAAATTCATTTGATTTTCGTAAAATGTGCTATGTAGATCCGTCTTAAATTATAAACACCTTAAATCACCATATTCAGAATCTATTGTTATTATCTGATATTAGAATACAGTGTTGTAACACCATCATTATACTTTAATCAGAGAATGAATGAGAACTATTCAAATAATTGTAACAAAGAGGCTCCCATATTCTTTTTTTACATATCCACGGAGCTCATTCGATTCAAATTTTCTGGTTCCACAAAATAGTTAGCTTTGTTCTCTGCAAACAGTACTTATTTAAAATGATTTGTTACAAAGTAAAAAAGCATTGGTGTAAGTGCTTCTAGTGTTTTAACTTCTTTTAACGGGTACAGTTAAATGAACACAGTCCTTTAATAGAGCACGAGAAACTGAATCGAATAAGTCTCGAGAAGGAGTATCAACAAAATATTAGAGTCTGTTTAATGTATGTTCTTGTTCTAACTTTTAAGTTGTATGATTGAAATTACCGTCATTCAATTTTTTTAGGTAGTTTACTTTACCGTCATATTTCCATACGTGATTTTACTGATTTTGGGTATTCGCGGTTGGATGTTACCTGGAGCAAGTAAAGGCATATTATTTTATATAAGACCTGTGTTTAGCAAATTACTCGATGCTCGTGTAAATAAAGAAATAATCTGTAAGAGAAATATTGTTCATTTTATTAATTTATTTTTGTTCAAGGTATGGAATGATGCAGCAAATCAAATTTTTTTTGTTTTATCAGTTAGCTATGGCGGTCTTATCACGCTCTCAAGTTACAATCGTTTCAATCAAAATACTCTGAGGTTTGATACAATGATTATAAAACAAAATTATAACTTTTTTGTTCTCTCTAGTAATACATTGATTATTACAATCACCAATGTTATTACATCCATCTTTGCCGGCTTTGTTATATTTGCATTCTTGGGCTATCTGGCATATATAACTGGCCAAGAAGTTACCAGTGTGGTAACGGAAGGTCCAGGATTAGCATTTGTTATTTACTCATTTGCTGTTACAACTCTACCAGGAGCTCCTCTATGGTCTATATTATTTTTTCTCATGCTGATAGCATTGGGTACTAGTACGGTGGTAAGATTTATTGTATACATTGAACGTTAAATACGATTCGTCATTCTAAACAATACTTCAGTTAGTATCGGTCGACACAATAACAACAGTTTTCACCGATCAATTTAACTCATTGAGACCGTATAAAACATTTCTTACATTGATTGCCTGTGTAATTATGTTTTTGCTGGGATTGGTTTTATGTACTGATGTAGGTATTTATCTTCACTATAATATGTGTATTACAAATAAAACTATCTGTAGGCTGGCATATATTGGCTTGAATTACTGGATAGATTTATTGGTTCTTGGACGGCACTGACCATCGCTCTTCTTGAATGTATTTGTATTGCCTATGTTTATGGTAAATATGTTTATCCTTTCTTCAATACATATTTTTTTATGATTTTATTTAATAGGAGGCAATAATTTTCGTTCTAATATACAATCAATGTTTGGATCTAATCATTTTGCTGTTAAAACATACAGAATATTTCAATTTTGTTGGTTATTTGCAACACCTGCACTACTTGCCGTTCGTATTTTGTACTATAATTTGTACAAATCTTTTTGTCCGTTTTGATTGTCATTTACAGGCATTGATTGTTTTTACATTTGTTGGCTACCGACGTCTTCACTTGGGACCATATATATATCCTCAATGGGCAATGTATTTGGGCTGGGGTTTAACAGGATTAATAATGTCAGGTGCAGTGTTATGGGCTTTCTATTCTATCTTGTCTGTACTCATACAGAGAAAGGTAAAATAATTAACTGTATCTGATAACACAAAATACTTAATGATTGGTATGCTATTGTAGCCGTTCAGTTCTCTGTTGATACCGGAATCTGAGTGGGGCCCATTACTTACACAAAATAGAAAGAAAATGAAGTATTACGGCAGTCAAACAAATGGATTTTATATTATATTTGATTGGATGAAACATCGATCAAAAGAACCATCACAACGAACAAAAGTAAGTTTCCGTTTAAAATCAAAATACTCTAAAACAATGCACTGAGGGAGCTATATAGCAAACATTTGATCTTTTTTATGCTAAAAAGTTATTTTTCGTTTAATTTCATTCTTCATTATATAAATACATACTTAAATGAAAAGGAACGAATATTGAAAAACATTTTCTATCAAAATTAGCTAACGGATAATTAAGCGGTAATCTTCAAGAGATTTCGTTTCGTCGGCGATAAGTATAGCGTCTTATTAACGTTTATTGTACTCCCGCTTTCATTCTTGACTGCGTGTCACATATCGATGCTCACGGTGTGAAGGCGAGGCAGATGTTATGGAAAACACTTTGAGTCCATTGGTTACTTTCAAAGTAATAAAAAGATGAACTCAGAGTCGTGTTTCTAAGAATGATTTTAGAAAGGCTTCAAAAAGTAATAAGTAAGAACTATGAGCAACGTTTCTTAGCTTATTTCTTCGTTTATAGTCAAGAAATTGTGATTAAATACTCGCGTAACCAGAAAAGAAAGAAAAGTCTTTTAGCTTATAACTATGTCTGTTCGTACAGAATTATATTTCTTTCTAGTTCATTTAATGATGTTTAACGGTACCTCCCCATCTTTTTTCACCTTGTTACCAAACGTGAAGCACAGGTCCGAGCTCCAATTTATAGCAGAGATAGAACGTCGAAAAAGAAAATCGATGTATTTTTGCCCAGAAATGTTCTTATCGGGGTTTTCATCCAGTCACATTACGACCCTTCGAAAAAATGGTCCGATCGAGCTCAAATTTTTACCATATAGGGTGTTCGTAAAGTCCTTGGAGTTAGAAAATGTTTAATATTTCTTTATTCTTTACCCAAATGAGCTGATTTTTTTTCTGAATGTGGAAAGTAAATAGAAGTGTTTATTCAATGCAGACAGACCATTTATGAACGTAAAGCCAGCAAACTTTCTTTAATGAAATAAGTAATTCGCTACGATGACGTCTTATTTTGTACAAAACGTAAA